GCCTGGTGCCTCAGAGCTCGGCGGTGCCTCGCCGCCGGAGGCCGGTGCGCACCCGGGGGCCGGAGGGCCTTTTTCCCCCCGCAGATGTGACGCAAGTTTGAACGCGAGGGCCGCGAGTTTAAGAGTTATTCACACCCTTTGGCACGAGATCAGGATGCAAAACGGCATACACACCTACTTTGTTTTGTGTTCTCCTGGGGAGGTCACATTTAAACCCAGAGAAGAAAGCATATAAGCATGGCATGGAGCAACTCCAAGACAACTGCTTTGGTCCTGAAATACTGCATTGGGTGTAGCTTCTTATAAAGTCTCTTAAGGCCTTTCTTAAGATAATTACCCATGTTGTTTCAAGAGGTGCACTGTGGCACTTTGTTGCTGCTTAGTCTTGCAAAGCAGTTTGGTCACTGTGCAGTTTTTGAAATTCATACTTTTGATAGAATAGTGAAACACTGAAAAGGGTGTCTTTAAAGAGCTACCAAATTGATTCAAGGTGTGGAAAAAACGCTCAACAGGGGTGCAAGGTCAAATACGTAAGCAGCTTAAACGGTTCATCTCACCAAAAAGAAAAGTAGGTAGTGGCCATATTATGTAAGTGCCTTTTCAAAGAAAAAAATAGAGAGGTTATTTTTTAACTTAGTGAAGGAAGGCTTAACAAGAGCCAGTGGATGAATTCAAGTAAGGCACGGCTGTGATTTTGATTGCCCACTGGAACAAACTGCCAACAGAGTGGATCTCCCACGTACATCTTCAGGTGGAAACTTGATTTTCAGGGTTATATTCTCCTGCTAAATGCAGGTTTTTCTGTAGTCATGGACAAGTTTCCGAACTCAATACATAGATTTTTAGATGAAATTCAGCTGCCTGTGATGTAGAAAAGCTGAGGATGCCTATGTATCTGTGACAGACTGTTGATTACAAAGTAAAATTCCAGGTGCTCTCGCTGTCTAAAAAAAGTTCACAATAATTTAACTGTTTACCTGACGCGCCAACTGCAAGATACTCAAAGATAGATTAGGGTGTTCAAGAAGACAGCAAGGAATAAGAACTCTGCTCTTCTATGATTATAGTGGAAAAGATTTGTGGAAGAGAAGTTTCTGCTATTCAGATTGAGAGTAGTTTCCAGCTTCCTTTGGAAGCTTGTTCGGAAAAGAAGTGGCCGTGGGATGCAGACAGGGCTGGGTAGAGGTGGAGCAGAGGTCTTATTCCACCTGCGCTCTTTTTCATGAAGCGCATAATGAACGAGATTCTGTCTTTTTTCCAGTGTCAGGCCCTTGTAGCTCTGTGAGTTGCAGTGAATCAAAAAGCGAGGTTTAGGATGATTGATGGGTTTTGAAGGTGAAAAAGAAAAGACAACACCTCAAATGCTAGCTCCTCTCTGTTGCTGCACAAATACTCACTCTCAGGTGTATGAAAATTTAGCAACAGGTGAACAAATGTGATTTTATTTTCTCCTTTCCATTTTCTTTTTCCTCTGTCATTGACAATAGACAGAGCGGCAAAATGCTCACCGCTGTAGAGAAAACAATCCAGAGTTGAAAAGGATATGATTCAGGAGAATGATTCAGTTCCTGTAAAAATCTAGGCTTATGTTAACTTTATGTGTTAATGTATTTTCAGTTTTAGGGCTTTAGTATCATCTGCCTCTCACAGAGGTAAGCAGAGATAAGCCCTGCTTGAGAGATGATAATGATGATAATTTTATTTGCTGTTTTTTTTTTTTTTAACTTTAGAAAGTACACACTTAGCACAGCTATGAGAGCTGAACAGCACAGGGAATTTCTACTGTCTCTTGCTGTGCCTGCTTAGCACCTAGTGGATTGATAAAGGGAACTTAAGTGTGGTACGTTTTCCAGTTCAACTCCCCTCTCTCCACAGGACTGCATTTGATCAAATACTCAACACTACTGTACCAGCTGCTGGCGTTTAAGGTGCTAGGGATGCTTAGTCCTGTGTATTGCAGAGGATGGGGCAGAGCCAGGCTCTGCTTTCAAGCTTGTTCTTCCTATGGATAGTAAACAAATTAGGGTGACCAAAAGGTGCAACTACTAAGGCTCTGGAGATATACCCTGTGATTTTGTTAGATTGATAGTGGTGCAGTTTGAAAGTGCTGTCAAGCCATGCATAAATAAGAAATCTTGTTTGGACTTGTTTCAGCAGAGAGTGTAGCTATTTACTCTTTTGAACAGGGCAAGGTATGTGAGATTGCTGCTGTGCAGTTCTGCTTTATGTTTAAGGTGCTGCTTAGCCACTAGAGGGCTTTATTGGACAGTAACAGCGGGCTGAGGAGGAAGTTAGTTCCTGAGTAAAATTATATTCCTGTAACCGCACAAAGAATCTTATTTAAATAGTAATAACTATTTCACAGTGTTCTTTTGTCCCAAGTAGAGTTTTCTGATGAACTTAAATTGACAATCCATACTCATACACAGAAATGAACATTTTAAAATGGTTAAGAGACCAAATTTTAATGCCTCAGAAAATATTTTCACGTTAGATGTTTGTTTTCCTTCCTATGCCCATAATTGATATGAGTAAATCTTTTAAAAGACCTTTATTTTTATCATATAAATTATCTTATAAATATATGTATAAATATTTGTTGTGTTCTGCAAATGAACCAAAGATATCACCAAAGCCTGTCGCTATTTGTAACTCTGTAAAATATGATCAGCTCTATAATTATTTTGACTGACATGGAATTGTCTTAGCCTAGCAGAGGGCTGGGACGGTGTGTAGGTAGTTATTATTAGAGCTGTATATTTATTACCGTGCCCAACAGTGTGTATGTTATTTGCATAAGCACTGGCTGGCTGTTTCACATAGAACAGCATGAAAATTGCTGTAGCCTGCTTGGCTAGCTGCCACGAGCCATGGCTAGTCACACAGCCGTGATGTGCGCAGCCACAGGGGTTACTTCGCAGTAGCTCTAATGCAAATAAACATATTTCTGTTTTCTTTCTCCCCCCCCACAAATTTTCAAGCTGTTTACCACTGATATATATATGATGCCTCTGTTTCTTCAGGGATTTAAGTGATGCGAAAACCCTTAGGAGAGCTATTTGAAGTAGAAAGTAGGGCAATGAATATATGCAAAAAGAAGTGTTAAAAAGCTCGAATTATTGAAATGATTTTCTATGGTCATGCTCATTCAAAGCACACATTTTGTCTTTTAAAAACAAAGTGCTTACATTGAGTCAATCTTGCAATACAGACTAATCCTTAAACACTGAACAGTTACACAAAACTGCTGTCCATGCAATGAGAACAGATTTGTGGTCTCGTTAATTTAATTTGCTTCTATCATTTGGGCTTCTACTTTCCAATTAGTTTGAAACACAACACTCCTAAAAATACAGGGCAGTCTGAGAAAGAAGAATTATGAGTACCTGCTAGAGGGGAAGAAGGGCAGAGAGATGGATGCGAGGTGGGACATGCTGTAGTATCATCATTTATATGCTCTGTAGATTTTTTCTTTGCTTTTCTTGAATATTTACACATTCAAAGAACATAGCAGTGTAAGGGAAAAAGGATAATTCAAAGATACTTCCTCTTAACTTCATGAGCCTCATATTATTTTAAAAATATTTAGGCCAGGTTATTACTGACTGAGTAAGATCTCATCATAGAATTTCTTAATGGGAAAGCTTCATGAAGCACTATTAAGTAATTTAGACTGCTAATGGAAGATGTATGGAAGAAAAACCTAAAATCAGTAGTTAAAATGTACAGATCTTTTAACTGATGTTTTTGTTGCTAGAGTGAAAATGTTCTGAGGCTTCTTAATTTTGGGAGGCAATTAGTGATACAGTTATATGAAATGAATAATTTTGCAGAAAATCATCTGGACGTGAGTCAATGTCAGGCTGTTGCAAGCAGGCAAACATGACTCTGGGATAATGTGAACAGGATCCGGTAATGTATGTTTCAAACAACTGATTTTTATCTACTCTGGGAAAGGGCATGGGCAATGTAGAAAGCTCTTCCAGGCACGTTTTGTCACCCCGTGCAGTCTTTAGCCCTGCAACTGCCTACTTTTTCGTATCTGAACACCTATACCAGTGCTTTTTCTGTGTCTAAAACAGGCCTTGGTAAGACTTCAACCAAATCCTGATAGCTTTGTTGCAATTTAAGAAAGATAATGGATAATTCTAGCGTAGGGGAGAGTAACAGGAGGGC